GGGTTGCTCACCACGGTGCTGCAGCGGTATGTGATCACCTGCAAGGTCGTGCCGGTTTCTAAGATTTAAGTGCGAAAAACCCATGTCAATGCAAGCTCTTGGCACACAGCTCACTATGCCCAAACTGAACAGTTCTTCGACCCATCGTCATCACGTGCGGTGGACCCGGTTTTTGCCCTTAATCTTGCAAGTTCTCGGTGCCCGACGTAGGCTGGATAGGCCGGTGTTCCTGGGCTGCCTGGAAAAACAATGACCTCTCGCCCAGGTGCCGTATCGCTGGTACAGGAATGGAAGCCTTCCAGGGACAGGTGCCAAGGTCTTTGCAAATGCCGCCCGAAGCCCGCAAACCCGAATCGCGGAATTCTGTTGAAGAAACACGCACATTGAAAGCCAGTCGTCTGCTTGCAGAACCGTGTCAACAGCAGGCCTGCCCCTGAGGGGTAGCTTATGGGTAGCTTCCCTGGCGTCCCCTCTTTTTTAACTGCTCTATCAAATCGCGGTGGCGATTCCGGGGCTAACCCACAAAAACAACGCCGTTCATCAGTTCTGATAATCAAGGCCAAGCGGCTTTGATTGGCAAACTCAAGTGCGAGCAGGATATCGTTCGATCGTTTCATGATGTTTGATTGCGCCGCTCGACAAACTACGGAATGGGTCCCTCATTTAGCCCAGTTTATCCAACAGCAAAGGCAATATTCAGCTTCTCGCCCGGCTTAGCAGACCTGTACATGCGAAATGACGGTCGTTCGAGGGGCCCCTGCAAGCGCAGGCTGAAACAAAGGTGTCGCTGACATAGAGGAACTCAAGATCCACCCTCATTTTCACACACACACACACTCATTCGGGGGTGGTCCTGATTGGAAACAAGCTTCGAAAACGGGTGCCTTAACACACCCCGCACATCCCTCCCATAGGATGAATCTTCATTGGGGACCCCTTGGTGGACATCGCGCGGATGCATGTCCACCAACTAATTTCTGAAGGTACTCCAACCATTCAAATCCATCATAGTCACAGGTGTGCCTTTTGCCGGGTACTCTCCATCTAGTGCTGTTTTCAAAGTAAACCATGGGGGCGTGTGTTCTGGTTCTTTGCAAAACTGGAGGGGAGTCATTTTGACATGGCCGGCCTGGCGGGGGTTCTCGGTGCTCGGGCCGCAGGAGCTGCTTCTGCTCCTTCAAAGGCGCCTTTGGCGCGCAGTGGCCCACCGCCACCCGCGCCAAGATCACCTGATCGATTCAAGCCCCGGACCCCAAGGGTTCTTTTTCCAAGGGGCATTGCAGTTTTGAGATGTTTTGAGGCTACGTGATCAAACCGGATTTGTGTGATCATCTTAACGATTTTCCTAGCCCAACCTGCTTTGTGACCTCCATGCTACGATTCCTGGTCTGTGAGCCCTACAGGACAACATCCCTGGACAATTCTCTGGGTTGGTTCCTGGCCCCTATATTGAAACGGGTTGCCGGTTCTGTGTTTGTTGGGAAGGCGTGTATTGCTGGTCTTGTTGTTGAAGACCACACCATCCGACCACCGGCAACCGCAACACCTGGGCTTGGAAATGTGATCGATCACAAGTAGGATAGGCAAAAGTGGATCAAGTCTTGGACAAAACCGGGAAGCCTGTCCTCAGGGTCTTGTTTCTGCAGGTCTCCCTATTTGATAGCTTGGGTCGGTGCGCCACAGCTAAAGTGCCACGAGGTTCTCTCGGTGGGCGTTAACTAAGTGAAACAAATCCTCTAAAAGCTCGTGGACCAGGGAAACCGAACGGACAAAATCGTTTTGAGGTAACTGACTTGGGCTCGTGTTAACTATCAAAACAAATGGAGAACTGCTGCAAGAACAAGCGTGAAACGAGCACCTCTCATGACAAATCCCCAGCCTGCGAAGTGTCTCCTGTGGTGCCTGGGCTAGCCCCAGCACTTCGCTAGGGGAAGGAAGTGTGTGGTGTCGTTCCTTCGGTTTCCCTTTGAACCATCCGAGTAAAATCATTGAGACTTGATATATGTGCGTTAAAATGATTGATTGCAAGATGCCACTCCCAGACTGCCGGTTTCACATTTTGGGTTGCAGCCTTGAGGTTCATGGGAAGAACCCATAGGCTGAACGAAAAGAGCCGCGAGAGCTGCACACCGAACATACCCAAAATCTGCATCCCGCCTACCATTGAAACTCACCCAAAGGAAACTCACTTCTAGTGGCCACTATAAGGCTAGCCAAATTTTGCCGTTTTCAAGCAAATCATCTCAAATGGAAAATGTGGGAAGTCCTGACAGGCGCATTCCTTGGGCTGGGTGCTTTCGGCACCTTTCAGCGAGCTACCTAAAGCCAGCAATCCACATCCAATGCTGCAGTTGCTTGGAACCTGAACATCGGCACCGAAATCCTTGTTTGAAGCTTGGCCACTCTGCGCCTAGCCCAACGCGCGGCTCCAAACTGCCCGCACTTCGCATCACTTCGCCCGCTCACCTCGCAGCCCAGGCGCTGCTCATCTGCGCAAAGTGGTGCGCCAGGCGCGGGTCCCGCGCAAAGTACACGCCTGGCGCTGGCAGAGACCGAGCCTTTGACACGGCGGCAAGGACCCACCTGCCCAGTCAGCCATGCTGACTCCGCCCATTGCCCTCACAGGATGATGTTCAAACCGTCCCTGTCGAAGCTTCGGCTGTCCAATCTGCAAAGCTCTGGAAAATCTAAGGCGTTAGGTATGTCATAAATGGCTTGCTCGCACCGGCGCGAACTGGCGTTTAGTACCACCCTCATGAGGCTTGTGGGGAAAGGCACTGGCCTACTCCGTAGCGGTTGTGGCGCACATCCAAGTTGGCATGGCTGATGCGGAAGCCGTTCTCCAGAACTGCATCCACGGCATCCTTGGATCCACGTGCCCTTCGAGCTGCGCTCTCTTTGCTCAACTTTGGGGAGGCACCGCTCATAGCTCACGCCGCCCGAAAGTACTGACATAACCATCCATCAGCCGCCCATTCAGCGTTACGAGCCAACTGGATGAATCTGAGTGGAAGCTTCTCAAGATGTCGGGAGTGGAGCTAAGTGCAAAAAGGACAAGCAGTCTAGTCTATACAAGCAAGCCTGCAAGTGGTTCCAAAGACATCGAACTTTCGGGTTGGCAGCTAGCGGCAAAATGGCAAAGAAACTAATCGTGCTGTTTGGCCGTTTCTAAAACTGTGAATCCCCTATTGGAGTATGTAGGCAAACCCTCAGGAAACAAGTGGTTTAGGTGACCACCATTCTGAGAAACGCCCATTTAGCACCCAGCCAGAGTATGGCTGGCCGAGCTGCGGTGCCGTGGAAGAGCCAGAGCTCCACTTCAGCCTCTAGCTCCACTGCCTGGCGGTAAGCCGCGTAGGGCATGTACGCGGCCTGGCGGCGTGCGGACCTCCACATCGGAACCCAAAAAAAATCGCGGTTGCCTACCCTCTACCCACCAAATAGTCCTTATGGCAACATCTCCCAAGGACCCTCAGTGAGGTTCCATGTTGGCTATGCATACGTAGCCCAAACCCGCAAATCAGGAGAAACTCCAACCGCGAATTTTAGCAGGGCTCTTTAACCCCAAAACCGCCTGCTTACAAGCGACCCTCTAAATCACCTAGTCATTTGCGAAGGCCATGCACCCTGCAATCTCTGGACCGTCGAAACCTCGTGCCTGGCTCTCCCAACGCTCCATCCGCTCCACGGCAGTGCCCTCGGGCATGGCTTCGTAGAAGTAGGAGCACACCGCCATGCCTAGCCGGTGGATGCCCCATGACCATGAAAAGGTGTGTCAAATAAGCGTAAAAACATGGACCCTGGCCTATGTATTCTATTGGAAAACATGGATGGCACTGGTAACAGGTTGACAACTGAAATGAAACCAGCATCCATTCTCAACCACATCGATCTTAAAGGACACCTGTAACATGGACAAATGGCAAGTGACAAAACCCATGTCATGCTCAAAGTGATGACCATGGCAAGCGCTAGGTCTTGGCAGGGCTCGCGGAACTATGATTTCACTGCTTCTTGCCAGGCGTAGGGGATAGAAACAGCAAAACAAAAAGAAGTACATTCCAGCAGGCCTTCAAGCACGGAACCCAAAGATATGGAATTCTAACCACAGGAAGATGTCAGGGGCTCTATGTTCCACAGGTACGGAGCGATGGAGCGTTAACAAAACCCTCCCACCGGACCTTCCTCCGACCATGGACGCACATCCTCCCTGCGGGGGGGGCAGCCGTCGCTGCTCCAGTGGAAGGGCCGCCGGGTCTGCCAGGCCATGGCCCATGGACGCGAGCTTGGGCGGTTCCTGTCTTCTGAGGGTACCCCTTTGAAGCTAAGGGAGACCAACAGGAGTATTCTTGGAGGTCACCCCTTGGTAAGGGGATGCCCAAAGGAGGACCGAAATCCATTTCTGGGGTCACTCCTGTTTGGATGCCCCACTTGGAACTGGGACCCCGAGCGAATTCCTTGGCAACCAGAATCCGCTGGAGACATACCAAATGAATGACACTGGATACACTCGGCCGCGTTGAATCATAGCTTAATGGGATAAATGTTAGCCTGTTCCCTGCTTGGGAAATGCGGCTAGTTAAATCTCAAAGTGGATGCCATTTGGCGTTTTATGGTTTCGCCATTGAGCGGATTGAAATTCCGCAGAAAAAAGATCTTCAGCTAGTAAACCATGTAAGCCGAGTGGCTAGGCGCCAACCACGTGAGCGCACGTGCTTCAAGATTGTCGGTGTCTTGTCCTGAAGGCCTCTAGGACTGGCACTGAGTGAGCAGGAGGTACCTTTTGTCACCGCTGCCCGACGTCAGTCTAGGTGCACAGAGTTTGGAGCAAATGAGCCGATCATGAGGAAAGTGCAGTGCCGAGTGCGTGCTCCCGTCCCACGCTGCATACATGCCCGAACCCATTTGCTGCCTTCTTTGGTTGTTCCCCGCCCAAGTGCAAGGGGAAACTAACTTTGGCAATTTTCACCCAGCGGGCTCCCCGCAGGCACCACGCCCACCTCGGCCAGCACGAGCTGGTCCACAAGCTCCCGAAGAGGCCGCCCTCAGGTCGCCAAGTATGGGTACACCCCCCCCAACAAAAAAATGAAAGTTGTTCTCCTGTTCTTCTCCGTTTGCACCAATCCTTGTGTTTTCCCTTTGAAGCAAAATGAATAGGGCACCCTCCAACAAAAATACAGCCCAAATGCTTAGATCACTGCCAGCAGGCATGCACAGGTTGCAGGCTAAGCATTGGCCCAATGCAGGCCGACTCAGGCTGCCACCGTCGGAGAAAGACTCATCTTGGCCGGCGTGCGTTTCAAGAGCTTGCATACGTGAATGACCCACCCAACGCTGCCAACATCGCCACAAGGAGCTGGGCTTGTTGGTTTGTTCGTTCCTTTGGTTCCTTTCTTTGTTTGTTTGCTTCGGCCGCTTGGCTTTAGTACTCATTACTACTATTTCCTTCCTTCCGCTCTCCTTTTCCGACCCCTGCAAAACACCCATGTTTAGTGTTCAGGCCTGGCTCCTTTTGTTTAGCCACAGCCTGCAGTTGCTTCAGAACAGACACAAAACACCAACCTAGGTCCCTCAAGTTGGTCTCAACGGACAAGAGCCGGGCAACCTCGGCGGAAAATGGGCACACAGGCCCGTTCATCCCACCGGGCGTCACGCAAGGAAGGAAATGGGCACAACAGCCCGGTCATCCAACCCCGGGGCCCGCAAGGCTCCATCATTCCAAATACTTGATTAAAGGACCTAGGCGCCATTCCCCGCCTCCATCCCACGGCAACGCTGTATGTGAGGCCTTTTAACTCGCAAGAACTGTTTGTTGAACTGCTCCAACTTAGTGAGGCTATCAGCTTTCAGCCGAATCTCTGCCAAATGGGCTACCCCATCTTGCAAATAAAGCCTGGCCACTGCCAAGGACTTCCATCTGCCTCTCAAGAGTACTGGTTCCAGCAACCCAGTGCGCTGCATTTCAAAGGTCGCACCACCCCGCCGAAGCGAGTAAGGTTGGAAGTGAAACTCTTCCAAGTGGAAAAACAAACACAAGGATTTGAAGGCCTTTCGAAACTGCTGTGGTGAAGACGCCCAAATTGGCTGAAACAGGCTTCTCTCGCATCTTCTTTTGCAAAGAAGCACCTCTAGGCACTGCAAAACAATTGGATCCCATACGGTCACTGCCTCAGATTTTCCCGTGCGCTGGCCTGACTTCGTGCTATGCAGATTTAATACTCCGCGGGTCGGCCCCAGAGCGATGTCACTGCATTTCAAATGTAGCAGCTCACCAGTGCGTAGCATGGCATGGAACCCGAGCCCGATCAAGCAGGCCAGCTCAACTGCGTCGCTCAGTATAGCCCGGGCCATGAAGGCAGTGGCCACACCAGCCGGCAGAGGCGCGGCACGGTTGGGGGGCTCAATGCGGCGCCATGTCCTGAAAAGTTTCCAGGAGAAGTTGAGGCGATGTTTGGTAGCTGGCCAGAAGTGGTGCAAACCGCAAAGCGCATCGGCAATCTGCCCCACAGGTACGCCAGCGCTCCACTGATACTCAATCCAATCGCAAATGGTTTTATCCAGCTCATCAAAGTTGGAAGTTTGATCCACAAAAGGTTAGACTAGCCGGCTCCCCTTGTCCGAGGGATTGTCATGGCTATCCACATGGGCCAGGACCAGAGAGTACGACATTGCCAAGGTGTATGCTGAGATTTGCTTAGCCAGTTTTGTGAGTAGCTTGGACGAGGTCCTGCCTTTGGAGCACATGGACAACGCGACGAAAGAATCCACAAGGTGGACAATCCTGCAATTGAATTGGGGCTTGAAGCGGGCCCGCCACTTCAAGGCAAGCAGCAGCGCCCTCATCTCAAGTGAGTTGATGTGATGTAGGAACTTCCACTTGGTAGCAAAGACTGTTTGCCAGCGCCAAATGACAGCCGGTATGGATTGCCTGGAGCTGGCCTTGGGATTCAGCAACTCCCCCGTGGTGATTTTCACATGCTCAGCAATCATTCTTGCGCAACCTTCCTCGTCGAGAGCAGGGCATTGCTGTCCGCCAAAGCTCTTCCAACGAGAAAGGGGCGCCTGGAAATCAGCACGAAGGCCGCAGCCCGCGGATAGCCCCAGCCGCAACATCAATTGCTCCACTGGCAGCGTTGGACAAAAGCGACGGCACATTTGGTTGGACAAAAGTGACGGCACATTTGGTTGCACACCCAGGCAAAAGACACCATTGCAAAGCTGTCCCCAATGAGAGACAACCTCTTGTCCTCGTAAGCGGTGGGTGACTGCTTGGCCTCTGAGGCTGACATGGCAGGCTCGGTATGTCCCGCCCCGAATCCCATCAGAAGCTCTCGCTCCGAGGAGTCCAGCAATCTCAAATGATGTTCAGCATCCTGAAGGCAAAATTCTCGTCTGTACTGGTAGGGTGGGAACCGGTATTGGGCTTCCTTCCACCTTTTCATTGCATCTGCTGGAGTTCGGTTGAGTCCGGCCGGCATGGGAGGCGGCTTCTTCCGCACTATGCTTTTCATGAAGGTTGGGAACCAAGCTGTTTGCTCAAAGCCCCAGCTCCACCCTGGCCGTATCCACTGTGCAGTAGTGACTTCTCCGCCGGTCATCGTGGCCGGGAAAAGCACATCACATCAGCCGAACAAAGCCGGAAGGGCCAGACTTCCAAACCGGCAGAAATCTCATCACGAGCGTGCGCATCCATAGAAGCAACATTCTCAAATGTCCATCGGACAGCAGCGAAGCTTCCAAAGATGTGTTGGATCCATCCCAAGTTCTCACGTAGCACCCAAAACAGGTTGCTTCCCTCTCCTTCCAGGTTCTGTCTGAAGGCTCGTGCAGATGAAAGGTGGATACAAGGGAAGCCGCCCCAAACATGCACTTCTTGGGTGCCCGGAAAAAGGCTGGCCCAACTCTCCACCATGTCAACGGTCACGTCATGAATGTCGTTGACAAAGATTGTTGTTGGCCAAGCCTTTCGCGTGACCCGGTTCGCACGCTTGTCAATTTCAATACTGATGAGCCCATGAGGCCTTAGCATGCACAGGTCGTGTCGCCTGCCGAGATCCATTCCCGACCATGAAAGACCAGTGCTCCTGCAGACTGCCCCTCCGGTCAGCGACGCATCGCTGGCTGTGATCTCCGTACTCACCTTCCTTCGCAAATCAGCCCCGAGCAAAGGAGAAAGGCAGACCATCATGAATAGTTCCAAGTGAGCCTTACCTTCCAAGGCCCGGCTGGGCGACGCTTTGTAAATTGCAGCCCAAATCGCTGACAGGACGGCAAAGGAGGGCCGTCGGAATTGACAGATAAAGACCCATCGCCCACACACAACCCGAGCAGTTCTGGTTGCGGATGAGCCCCAGAGTGCCCAAAGCTGTTTTGAACACCGTTGGCATTCCGCCACTCAGCCAACCAAGGGACCCATCAACTTCAGCTCCCAATTCAGAAATAAAGAGTGCGTCCGCCTTCCGTTTGTCCTCAGCGGACACAACCCCCGCGAATTTCCAAACTGCCTCGGCCCGCTGATGAAACTCACGCCCTGAAACTGTGTCTTGTCCTAGTTTGGCACGTTCCGCAGCTGCAAAGTTGTCAAGGTACACCTGCCACCACGATTTTGGCCCGGTTGTGTCCAGCCAATCGTTAAGCCAGCGGGGCACTCCAAGCCCTCTGCGTAACTCATGCTGTCGAGGAAGACCTTCTAGGTCCATCAATTGCCTGCTGATCATCTGCATCACGCCTACCGCACTCCGCCAACCCATAGGGATCGTGTTGGCAGCAATTGTGTAGTGGCGAGATGGGTCCAGCCCCACTTGGTCTCCAGTGAAGGAAAAGTTGAAAGCGAGAAAAGTTTGCCACTCGCACGGGATTCGAAATAAATAGAATGCCGCAGCCATGTCACTCTGGTAGCATAGCAACTCCTCGTCATCTGATAGCACAACTGACTGCCAAGCAGAAATATTCGGGAGTGTCCCCACATCACCCTGAATGTACTTTTGACACCGGTTGGCCGGCACCAAATTCATTATGGTCCGCACCACGCACCGGCCATCAGGAAGCGTCTTGGATTTGGGAACCCCAAAGAGTCCCGAAAGGACAGGAACTCCATCTTGCTTGAAGACACTGTCCAAATCGATCCAAGCAAACATTTCTCTCCACCAGGAGCTGGCAGACTGCCAGCTCTTCACCAGGCCTCGCGTGCACCTTTGCCTGTGTTGGGCCAGACTCCCGGTTTGCCACGGGTAAGATACATTCAGCAGGGTTTGCAAGCAGAAGCTTTGTGCGCCCGCTGACAAATTGCATACTGTCGATCTGGCCACCGTGACCGTAAGCGGGCAGCCCTGGCTCCATTTGAGCCACGGACAACGGTAGTAAAGGTAGTACCTCCTCGCCGCAGTAAGAGATTGTGGTCTTGGCCATCTCGGCTAGCACGCTCTCAACGGGCACTGCAAAATTGGAGCCCGGCTGAGAAACCCAGCCACTTGCCTCTTCAAATGTTTCACGGCCTCCTGCCCATTCGCCAGAGGCTGCCCTTGGGCAAGTCCCGGAAACCCCGCCAGCCAGTTGATGGCGTAGAGGGACATCGCCAACCAGCAGTCTTCCACCAAGGATGTATTACACAGCGCCTCCTGCTGCGCACAGTCACGGCTCATGCCGCGCAGTTGCCAAAAACAGCTGCCACTGCTGAGCGGCAGGGGCAACAAGTCAGGATGTTTCGCCCTGACCTGTTGAAGGCTGTGGCCCAACGGCCCAACAAGGGCCGTCAATGATGAATTCAACAGGCTTATCTCATCATGAAGTAAGCCCCATGCCACTCTCAATCCCAGCTCGGCAAAGCAGCCAGCCGCACACACCCAGTCAAGGTACCTATCCTTGCTCATACTGTTCGGCTGCTGTCCTACACTGCCTAGGACTTCGCGTCCGCGTCTGGGTGCTTCTCCTTGTCCTTCCCTTTCTTCGTCTTCGTCTTGCCCTTGCCGTGGTCCTTGTCCTTGCCCTTCGCCTTTCCAGCACCCTTGTGCCAACCTACATCGTTGGAACGCGGCTCCCACTTCCACTGCTTCTGGTGCTGTTGCGCACTCCAGCCCTGGCTCGGCAAACTCACACGCTCCACCAGCCGGGCATGCCGCTGGGCGGCCAGTAGCACCTCCGGCTTTGCAGATAACGTGTCCTCCAAGCTCTCCACCTCGAGGTACCGAGCCGCGGCCCAACTTCCGGCATGCAGGGCATGCTCTATGGCCACGAAGCGTCCACTTAGAATATCTCCCAGTTTTTCGAGCTGTCCTTCGCGGAGCAGGTCGATCACCCGAGAAAGCAGGAAGAGTTCTTTGACGTCTCTGCTTCTGCTGTCGAATCTCTGCCTCACAAAAAGGTTGAAATAGGTCATCAGTCGTGCCGGGGACTCGATGGACCCGAGGGCATCTCCATCCCCATCTGCCAGCTGCACCTCTGACAGCTGACCCCGCACATGGTTGATAAGATCCCGCAACACGCACCCCGGTTCTGCTTGAGCAAGCTTCTTGAGGGGCGGAAGTAGCTTCTTTCCAGACTCGCTTTCGCTGCTGCTGGTTGACGCCTCTTCTGTCAGCAGCCTGTCTAGGCCGCGTTTTCTGGAAGGCGCCTTCTTCTTCTTCCTCCTCCTCTTGTCCTTGGCTGTCTCCTTGGACGCCTTCTGCTTGCGCGCCGCTAGGAGCAAGGCGCCTTGCACATCCCGTTTCGATCTGACCTCCTCCTCCGCATCCTCCTGCTTCACAGCAAGAATCCTGGCACTCGGGTCGGCCAGCATGGAGCTCTGTTGACTGGCCTGGCCTTGGCTTTGCTGTAGACCGAGCCCAACGGCTCTGCAAAGCTCACCTGTCTCCGAAGTATCGAAGGGCCGGGTTTCACCGCTTTCGCCTGTCCCTGGTAACGGGCCTTCAGCTCCTCCAAATGCGCCCCCACAGCGGACTCGGAGATTGACTCCGGGACGGCTGAAACAGGGTGATCTGTGTCTTTCGCCCTGGGCTGCCCTGAGCTCCCCCCAAGGTCGGCTTCCTCCAACAACTCTTTCAAAGCCTTCTTGCCATGAGTAGTGAGAGATTCGCCGTGGTAGGTTCCGGGTGGCCAGGCTCGAAATTCTGAGATGTGGATGAGCTTGTCTTCGGTGAAGCCGCACTGTTCGACGTCGCTGCGACACAAGTGAAGCCGGTATCCTCGGCGATTGAATGTTGAGCCGGCCAATGAGCGAATGGAAGAAAGCGAGCTTCCCAAAAACCTGACCTTCACGGTCAGGCCGTCCTCTGTCCTTTCCTCGGCCAGGACCCCAACAGTGACTGTAGCAGCGGGTTCGCCGCTGATGTATGAAGGAAATGCTACCTCGAGCACCGTGCTCCTTGGGGAAAGAACGCCAATCCCAGGTGTCCCTTTCTGTAATGTACCCATCGTAGTAGGCCAGTGCCTGACCTGGCCACTCCTGATCTGACGGAGGGCCTCCATAGAGAGAGGATCTGTCGGCAGACCCCTCTCCCTCTGTGATCTCTTGCTCTTCGATCATCTCCACGGCCTATCCAAAAAGGACGTGGAGTTGTTGGGTGGCAAGTCCAACTCGCTTCCTTGCAATTTCCGATGCACAGGGATGAAGGGGTCCTCACGCGACCTGTACAGGCGCTGGTGCTTCCGACCAGCCCGGTGTTTCTGGCCACGTGCTCGCTTCCTTTGTTGCCCACCGTGATTGCCACCAGAGCTGGTACGTGGCTTTGAGCGTGGGCTGGCCTTGGACTGGGCCGATGTCAGACTGTGTCTCGGCAATGGAAGACGTTCAGCAGAACGAGGACGACGTTCCTGAGGTCCCTGTGTCTCCTCCTCCGTGTCCTCGTAGGAGTACTCGGACTCGTCCTCGTTCTCGTCGGCCACCTCCGACACGGTCCCCACCGTTGACCGCTCCAAAGGCGGTGGAGACCGTGAAGGTGCGGGGTTCTCCAGGTGGGGAGAAAGCCGCGATAGAGCCCTGACCTGCCTGGCAGTGGAGACGATCAGATCCTCGGCAAGGCGGCGAGTGCCAGCCGAGGACCAGGCCCGCCGACCCAAGTCAGCCTGGATCGACTCCACCCCAGAGCAGGCCAGGCACCACGAATCGCTCCCCGCTCGCAACCCTTTCCCGCACTTGTTGCAGGGGGGCATCGAGCAACGAGGCTTTGGAGCGAACATGCAAAACAAAAAGGAGTTGCCGACCCTCACACTAAACTTCGAAACGAAAGAATGTGTTGCTTAAGCGCCCGCGCCCAAGCTGATTTCCAGGTCCTGGATCGGCAAGACGTTCTCGAGCGGCACCACCTGCACCGTTCGCATGCAGGAAAAAATCGACCCTGCAGGGAGACCCAGCTGCCAGCTGGTCCGGGGCTCTGAAAAAAACCAATGAATGGAAAAACAGATCCATTTCCTTTTTGGGCCTTGGGAAATGCAACGATTGTGAACTATTTGCCCAAAAGGTGTCTGTCCCGTCCACAGGTGCGCTCCCACCAATGGTCAAACATGCTTTCCAACATCTGTCCACCAAACAATGTGGTGTTCCTGGCTTGCAGGGGACTGCCGGTTTTGTCACCAAATGCACCCAAGCCAGAAATCCTGATGACCAAGCAGGGAACTTACTCACTCGTGGCCCGTGTCAGAAAGCAACAAGTTGTTTTTGGTTGCCTTCCACGTCCCATCTTTGTCTGACAATCGCCCAGGCGCACCCTCTCACCGACATCCCCTTCCTCTCTTCTTCGGCCTGAGCAAAGACCGCCTGTAAGTTGAGTCGAGCTGGCTTAACACCGACTCCACACATGATGCAACATGGCGAGACAAACTAATGTCTGCACAGAAACATGCAAAACCGAAACGTTTGTCGTGACTTAGGTCCGGACCCCGCCGATGTCCTGAAAGTGCGCTTCTGCAACAACATGTCATGACAAGCCAGTGGCTTACTTTTGTTGAAACTGGCCGCTTTTCTGGCTGCCTGTCTTGATCTGCTTGCCTTTTTGCCTGCGGTCTGCTAGTCATGTGCCCAGCAGCATGCCGCTCACGCCCGGATGCTGGAGCCTCTTGTCTCAGCTTGAATCTTCTGCGGCAAAGGGGGCCTCCCTCTACTTGAGAACGTGTGCTCCAAGCTCCCGTCCAAATGCCACGGCCTCGGCCCGCCCCGCCGTCCTCCTCTGGAACGTGACTTTGCGGCATGCCTGGAAGCAAGCGGAGCACTTTCCAGAAGCCCGCTGAACATAAATCATCAACTACGTAGTGCCACCAAACAGATATCGTGTTGTTCTTTGCGCGAAAATATACTTTCCAAAAAACAAGTAAAGGATTAGAGGTTGACCTAAATGGCTAATCTAAGGGGAAAGCTCATACTTGGATCGAAGCCTATGTTTGGTGTCCCATGCTGTGCAATCTGAGGGCCCCAGCGACCGGTGCTCGCGACCTGCCGGCTGGCTTTCACCGGGGACCATTGCACAACCCAGCCCGACACCTCTCAATTCGGCTGGCAAATGAATACCGCTAGTACGGGCAGTCTTAATCCGCACATGATGCTCTTGTGGCACCACAAACTGACTGCAAGTTTGGGGCGCTGATCTCCATGTGTGTTGATGGGTAAGCGCAGAGTCGCAATGGACAGTGCACGAACCTGGCCTCTGTCCAAGCTGCCGCCTGGAATCCACAGGGGATCAGTTTTGAGGCGAATACCAGTGGGCAAACACGAGTATTTGCCAATATGGCAGCAAAAGTTGTTGTCAAACCTCAAGGTCTGCTTGCTTTGGGCAACTTGCTCCACTAAGAATGTCAAAATATGCAGGTACTCGTCACAATTGCGGCCGAGTCTGCCGAGTCCATCATATGTTTGAAAAGCTCTGGTGACAAGAAAGGGGGCCTGAAAAAATGGCGTGCTCCAGCTAGGCGCTTCGCGCGAAACATGTCAAGCGCGGCACTCCTGCAACCAAAATCAAACGAATCAGCATCCTTTCCCCAGCCGCCAGCCTGGTCGATGGTCGCGCCTGTCAAAACTCTGCATGCGGAGGCATCACTCCTTTCAGTCAGCTCGACCAACTGGTTTAAGGCGACATGACATTGGAACAGCCCAGGGCAGTCACCTAAAGAAACCAAACTCGAGCTTCGGCTTGCTCTGACTGAAGGCCCGCCTCTCCCGATGTTCTCTTCTCCTGGGGCAGGGCGTCTCGGAAGCACCCCTCCTTGGGGGGGGGGGGGGCACCTCCTATCCCTGCAGACAGCTGTTGAAATCACGATATGAGGGTGCCGTTGGGAATGCGAGATACATTGAACAACGCCGATGCATGTGCTATCAACACCAGGGAACGCCATGAAGGCAGCAACAAAGAGGCATTGGCACATATCTGCAGCTGGACATCCCATTGCCTGCTTTCCCGTTCTTGCCGTGTCGTCTTCCCCTTCCTTTATCGTCTTTTGCCTTTCGTTTCTTCAACCCATTTCCAGACCCTTCCTTTCTCGCCCTTTTTGTTGGTCAGCTTCTGTCGGTTTTGAAGGAACCACCCTGAACAACGGAACAAGGGTGTCACTAGGCGCCACCTTGGACAGGTGGCCATGCCGGTAAACCCGAGGCGCGCCTGGGCGACCCTCGCCGGTCGCGCCTCCGGGACCTGGCCAGCCGCCAAAACACGGAACAAGGGCTTCAGGATGCTTCAGGTGACTCACGTCAAGCCTGGGGCCTCCCCCCACAAGGAAGTCAGAACTCCCCAAAGTCAGCCTTTGAGGCAGCGTTCGCGGAGAAATCCTCCAGCCCTGGCCTGGATCGACGGTCTGCTGGAAATGACCTGTGCCGGGAAGTGAAGGGCCAAGCCAAACGGTTTGGAACTCTCAGCTGGCTCCAGAAAGCCAGTGCATGCGAAGACAAAGCCCGCCCAGCAGCCTATCCCAAACCCATTCCGCCAAGACCACCCGAAAGCTGCCCAAAAGGCATCTCTTCCGCTAAGGTCGCCCGGCCCCAGCCCGAAGCCACATGAAATAGCAGGCAAATCAAGCCAAAAGCCAATGCTCAACCTTTCGCAGGCGCGCCTCTCCACCTCAGGCCTGCCCTCAGCGCAAGGGCAGAACAACCTCCAACCTTGGGCCCTATGGAGCGTTGCCATTGTCACGGGACCCCGAAATTCAGGGGTCCTTTGTTTTCCAGGGCCCTCCCTCCCAAAAGGCGCTTGGCGAATCTGACGCCAGAAAAGGAAGACACGACCGCACGGCAGTGTGAAACCCCGGGATGACTAATGTTCGTGGTGGCTTGGCGCTGCTTCGAAGGTACTTGACTGAACTAGGTGCTGGCGTGCCCCGGGGCAGTGCCCCGTCCCTCTGGAGGCTCAAGCTGGGAGGCTCCTTCCCTGGCGGGCTGCCCAAGGATTTGGGTCATGACCCCGAACAGGTCACCGTTCTCGAGAATCCATGCGTGCGTGCGTGCGGGCGGGCGGGTGGGCGGGCGGGCTGGCGGGCGGGGGGCGTGCGGGCGTGCGGGCGGGCGGGCATGCGGGCGGGCGTGGAGGTGTGCGTGGGTGCCTGGGTGCGTGTGCGTGGGTGCGTGGGTGCGTGGGTGCGTGGGTGCGTGGGTGTGGGGGTGCGTGTGGGTGCGTGCGTGCGTGCGTGCGTGCGTGCGTGCGTGCGTGCGTGCGCGCGCGGGTGGGTGGGTGGGTGGGTGGGTGTGTGTGTGTGTGCGTGTGTCATACACCTTGGATAAATGATCCCTAAAGGCTTGCTGACGTTCATACCCCTTCGGGGTTTACACCTCTTGTAAAGTGGAAAGGTCACCAGGGAAGCCAAAAGGAGTAACCCTAAGACCACCAAGGCCACGAGAGCATTGGAAAATTACCCTCTGCCCATGCAAATTATATGAGCGGCTGGTCTGGGAGACCGTCTGTTGAGCCAAATGGCCGAAGCGTCGGTCCCTGTTTTTGATAACTGAGTTGCGTCAAATGCGCATAAAGCCTGCTGCCCACATTGCGCTTCGGCGCGGATGTCTGCAGCCTATGTAGAAAACAAAGGCAGGTTACGGCAGGTTCACTGCCGCCTGGTGAGAAGGAAAGTCTCGGACAAAGGCGACTCATGCATCCCCGCGGATGATGAGCCAACTTTACTTTCGCGGTCTGCCCCGAAGCGAAGACCACCGCAAAAAAGCGAAGTCTACCCTCGCTGCAATGCCAATGCACCCGGATCCGTGGCTCTAGCCATGAGGCTGCCCCCTTCCTTGTGGCGGACAATCCCTGCCTCGAACCTATGGTCATTGTTCCCATGCCCGTATTTGCCCAAAGCGTTGGCAAACACAAGTGTGGCGTTGATGATCTGATGTGTCCGCATGAGCAAAATATAGTTGTATAAGTTGCGGTCCCAGGGTGTTGCAAAGGCACGCAGTTGGCCAACTGGCCTTGAAAATAGCCAAGCTTGGCCTATCTTGGCCTCAGCCACCTGCGAACTATGACCGCATTCTGCGCACGTTGTGTCCCAACATTCATGGGCAAACCCCCATGGTGGCGCTCGCAGCCACAGCCGAGTTCAAGGTGTCGGAGGGCAAGTGAGCAGTAAGCCAGCCCCCGCAAAATAAGGAAGCCTTTCTCCGAGTGTCTCCGACAACTTGACTCCGATGTGGCGGCGGCCTTTGCAAATGTAAAACAGCTGTACTTCGCGAGCTCACTCGCTCAGTGCTCGCTCAAACCTGGGGCATGGCAACCTAGTCATACCGTCCTACCATTCTTTACTTGAAGGGGCCGCAATTCTGGCTGCCACAATTCACAAGCAACAATTTATTGGGTTCCTCAGGTTCTCAGGGGTGAGCTCGTTTTCCCACAACTAAGCTCACTTTTATCTGCTTAAAATACATGGACCTCATGCCGCGCAGCATCCGGCCCTTGACAAACACTCCCATAAACATGTTGTTTCCCTTCTTGCCTGCGAGGATAAATTCGAGGCCCGCATGCTGTGATTGAGAGCTGTGAACTTTTCTGGCTGACCGACGCAAAGCATTCGCCATATCCCAGGATGCCTCAAGAGTCGCCGGATGAGTCACTGGCACTCGGGTCATGGGACAGCATACCTCAGCCAGTTCAGTGTCGGGATGGCCCTGCTAGAGAAACAAGCGTTTAATTCGAGCCTCTCACTTAACATGGAAGTGCACAAACCTTCCCTAGAAGACTGCATTCCTTTTGGAAAAAGAGCCCTTGCGCTTCCATGTTTGTTTGCGCGTGGGCATGCTCAAGCTTTGTGTTGATTGCCGTTGTTGCCTGGCTAGCCCTCACTCACAACTCAGAGGCCCGGAAACAGAAGGTATAGCTGTTTGCGACTGTTTGCGACCACGGCTGCGGGAAACCCCAGAAACGAAAAAAGAAAAAGCAACAGATGTTCGACAGTTGAAGCATTCGAAGCAGGGATTGCTAATCATCAAGAGCGCCACAAGTCCCAACAAGGCCAGGTAATCACATGGGAAAGCTGCAGAAGCCAGAACATCCTCGACATGTCCAACTCAACGCGTGAAACGCGGAGGGTTCCTTGCGGCTGAGTGGCGGGAGCTTGGGTCCCCATCCCAGATCTCCACCTCGCGACGCACGGAGTCAGATCGCCTGGCACACGATTTTTTGGGCCGCCGGGCTCGGTGTTTTGCGTGCAGTCTGGGAATGCTAAAGGGTTCGTGGGTGGACACATGTAGCCCCTGTGCGTGTGGTCAATGGGTGTCCTTGCAAACCCTTCAAGCATGAACACATGGGGCTTTAGCGCTCACATGAGTATTTGCCCTTTTGGCTGCAGACAGAAACCAAACGGGGTCCCTAATGCTTAAACCTCAAGAGGCCACCAGCGCCCGGCCTTAACCCACCAAAGTTCTTCTCCTCTGCAGGTGCCCAGGTGTAGCTGATGGCGAAACGGCCGTCCTCGACCCATCTGCCAGCTAGGGAGCCCCTTGGGTTGCTTAACCTGCCGGGACCTGGAAATTCAAGGTTGGCCAGGGACTTTGACTAAGACCAGGCCAAAAAAGAAGGTCAAAATGTGCTTGAGTAAAGGGAAAGCAAACGGCGACGGCAACAAGAACTTGAAGGGGGCCTTAATCTTGACACCCACCTAGGAATGGGACCGTTGGGGGGGTTGTCTGTCCTCCTCCGAATCAACAATGAACTGTTGTAGATTAGTTCATCGACTAATCGACACCTTCGTCTTCTAGAGAAAAGCCGTCACAGTCATGGCAAGGCTAATGCCCGAATCCTGCCCCAGGCCGCCCGTTCGCGTCAGGCCTGAAAAACCCAAAAAAAGAAGCCATAGGGGGCAAAGGAGGCAAGCTGCAGGATTTGCACCGAGGCTGCTAAAGGGCAAGAACTCACTCTGCCGGCAAAGTGCCGCATACGTTGTCGACTCAACAGAATCCCTTCAAAACAACATCGTGTTCCCGCAGCTATCTCAAAGCATGGGCGGGTGCCGCATTCTCTCCGGCCTGCCACTGAGAAAGAAACGGCAAAGGGCTTTTCTGCAACCATGCTCGAGCCTCTGGTATCTTACACAAGCCTCAAACTCTCAAGCCGCACACCTTTGGCCGCACCTTTGGCAGAAGGCGCATGCGGAAAAAGAGCTGTGGCGTCATGTCAGGTTGCTGGACTCAAAATGCCGGATGGCCCTCCCGGGCCTACATAGCCTTCCCGAAGGCCATCCAGGATGGCTTCACTGCACCACCCCCGCTCATGAAAACTGCCAGCAAGCCAGCAGCCACCAGATTGGAGGGTACCAGCCTCAGGCGAGAATAGTTAAATCGTGAAGCTTCCTTTGGCTGCCTTCCCGACAACTGCACCGGCGGGTTTCGCCGACGCCGGATTCAACCTGGCTCGTGAACAAAATTGTTCCCCATCCAAACGCCAAAAACGAACATGTATTCTTTGTCATGAGGCAAGCTAAAAGACTGGCTGAAGCAGCCTAAGCCTCGCCGTAGCCCACATGAGCGACTCTGAAAAGAGCCCTCAGGAAAGGATAGGAAAGGAAGAGTCGTAGCCCCGCTCTGCGCGTCCAGGCATGGCTCGCACTCTCGGAGCCAATGTCCCCACCCCAAAACAAGAGGTTTGCCGGCTTATCGGTTTCGCCCCATCTTTTGAGATGGATTTTTCAAGGGGAACCCTCTTTGAACACCTCTCCGATCCGGTTTGAAACAAATTCGGGGAGGTTCGAGATTTCCGGACTCATTTGCCAACCGCGTCCTCGATGAAAGCGTTTCATCGAGGACCCGGAAAGGCCAAGCAGCTCCTCGCGGAAGGTTGTCCAGGACTGGCGCCCGTCCAGAAGCGCCGCAAAGGGGACAAGGGAGGTCTGCCTGAGGTTGCTTTTTTGAAGCTCGGTACCATTTTCAGGTTTGCTTAAAGGAAACAATAAACCGAAATCTGTTTGGGGCCCAAGTCCCTATTCACACACATGCGCCACGGGTCAAGGCTCCTAGTGGTCATGATTCTTCACGGTTCTGTGCCAAAATAAGGTGCTCGGACCGGGAAGGTTGGATGTATGGTTCGCGGGTATGATTCGGGGTATGGTTCACTGCTGACGATCTGCAGTTGGCAGATGTTGCTAACTTCGCGCGTGGTCACAGGGTCAGGTACACAATAACAAGGTATGGTTCAACGTGTGGTTGGGTATTATCTGGGGTATGATTCGGAAGCAATGTTTTCTGCTGTAGAAGTATAAGTAGAAGTAGAAGTCGGAGGTATGATTCGTGGTATGGTTCGGGGGTATGCTTCGCACATGGCGAACTTCCATCCTTTACTAAACCTTGACCACCTTAAAAAGGCACACACCCTAATGCCTTACCATGGCTGTCTAGAATCCGTTGGGGCGGCCCTACCAACCCCAAGCTTTGACCATGGCACGCATGGGCTGCCCTGTGATGGATTGAAACCAAAGCTCCCATCGCCGGCTTCCCAGAAAGGAAAGTGGTCCAATATCTTTTTTGTCAGCTTCCAGCAAAGAGGAGATGAGAGAGTGCATTCTTTCCGATACGGGAACACATGGAGCCATAAATGTCCAACCTCCCCACTGCCCCTCCTTTTTTTTGAGGGGGGAGTTTACATCCCAGCCAGAAGCATTTTGGGCCCAAAAGTCCCCTCAATTCGGAAACGGGTTTGGAACGGGCGGGACTGAATGGCAACTGCATCACGCCCATGAAGCTCCGGTACCCAAAACACATGTGGTTTTCCTTTGAGTTTCCCTGCAGGAAGAGGTACACACACGCACAAAATGATTGCCCTGGGCGATCAGAAGCAGGCCTAATTGAAAGTCATCCGGGGAAAGTTTGAAACAAGCGCACGCTTCAGCCACATGAGGGTTTGAACTGGCAAATCTCCCCACCGAACCTCACGTTGTTGTCCATGGATCC